ATGTAATCAACCAATCAATTAATCAACCAAATAGAACTTGCTTTGGCATTACCTTCTAAAGGAAACAAACTTGGTAACCTTGTTGAATGACTCAGAGCAAACAAGCCAAGTGCTTTGATAAAATCTGAACCCAGTTTGTTATGAGTCCAGTTACTCCAACTTCTGAAGTTAGAGGACATTCCCATTATTTTACTGAACTTCTGATTTCTTGTGAGGTGAGAGATACCTGTGTTTGTTTAAGGTCCCTTTATTCCTCATTCTGAGAATAGATCAGGATGCAAGAAAAGCCTGGTCTGCATAGAAAAATACCTGAAGCAAGAGAGTGACACAAACTACTTGCATGGAATCCTTGGCAAAGAGTTTATATTTGAGCAGGGGCTACTCTCAGGAATCTCCCTCCACCAAACCCCTAAGACCTCCTAGACCTCTGGCCCAAATTTAAACTGTGGAAGTCTGGGAATAGCTCTGTCAGGCTTTTTCTTTCCTTTAGAAAAATATTAACCTGAGCACTCTATTTCCTAAAAGGCAAATACTCCATATTCCATCTTTCTCTCAATTATTGTTAATAAGTATTGAGTACTTGCTTAGTGGGCCATCGTTTGACCCAGCAGTGGGAATCTAGGGTCCATTCGTCATCCTGCTGTTGCCATCTAAAGCAAATATGGAGGATGCTTGGATGCAAAATGGGGAGAGTTGTTAGACTTTAGGTAAGGAATTGACAAAACTTGAACTTAATAAGAAATTAATTAATAAATAGTAAAACTATATTTCTCGCCTGAGCTCCCCTTTTCTCTTTCCTGAATGGTGCAAAAGGTTCAGATATGCTAGTAACAAGAATAAAACAGCACGTGTCATTGAGAAGAAAAAACAAGAAGGAAAACTTAGCCATCTGCACCAGAGAAAGCTCTTTATCTGCTTACAGTAAAGCTAATAAAGGTGGGGGTGAGATCTGCTCCTGATTCCCGTCATGAGGGAGAGGGAAAGATGAAAATGAGTACTGAGTCACCCAGGGTCAGGCCAGGAATTACTGTGTCAAGTTCTGTCTTAAGCTTCAAAACAGAGGAAAGAGGCAGAGGAGGAGAACCAGACTGACGACCACAGCCTGCATCTGGAAGACTGAGGCCAGACCCAGCACCCACACCCCCATCCAGAGGCCCATGCAGCCCAGACATTCCAGAGGCCAACAAGGCACAACTCCCATCCAGAGACCCCTGCAGCCCAGACATTCTATAGGCCAGCAAGGAGATGCAGGTGATTTCAGGTGTGTCTCACCCAACAAACGCTTCTGTGCCATCTGCTTGCTTGGACCCCTCTCGCCTGGGCTTTCATTGTAGGAGAAGAAATTATAAATGTATCCTGCCAAACAAAGAAAAACTCTCCAGTTTCAGTGAAAACTTACAAGTGATTTCAGAACAATGACAGGCTTCTTAGAGACTAAATAAAATGAGTTGAGATTACTTTGGATTATCAAGGCAACCAAAGAGATAGAATCAAACCCAACAGTTTTCTGCCTTTAGCTGGAGAAGCCCAGAGGTCTTTAATGAGGCAGCCATTCTGCATATCCTTGCCCCTTCCACAGATAGGTCCAGGTATATGCTACTATGCTAAAACTCGCTGCAAATGCTCATGGTCTCCATGTGTGCCCTAAGCTAGCTCAACAAGCTCTAATTAGGTGACAGTCTACTGATAGGGCACTAGGATCCCTTCTACATAGCATAAGAAGAGAAAAGGGAAAGGGTTTTGATTCAGGGTCCACCTTCACATGACTCCTGCACTAGGCATTCTAGGAGGGTTTCACAGAAATGGCTCTGTACACGGTGTTGTGATGTTTCAGATGAGTAACTACAATACAAGGCGACACGCTGCTCCTGCTGCCATTAAGGGACTGGATGAGAGTTCATCAGTAAAGGGATGATGCGTCCAGTGAAGGAGGGATGCTGGATGCGGGTCATTAAGGGTCTTGGCAGGCAGGGGGATCTGGTTGCATTTCTTTCTGGGAATGGTGTGCAGGTGGGTGGAGGGCAGTATGTTCTAAGGTGAGTTAGGGCTAAAGCTTGACCAGAGATTAGGAAACCAGAGAGGAGAAAAAGAGGAAAATGCTTACTAATATTACAAAGGACATTTCACATCAATCTAAGAGACATTTATTTTACTAGTTCAGCTGTAGATAGAGGGCATTATTAGGTTTCAAAATATCATCATGGCACACTGAAGTTAAAACAGATAGGACAGGGGCTGGGCGCAGTGGCTCGCATCTGTAATCCCAGCACTTTGGGAAAGTGAGGCGGGTGGATCACCTGAGGTCAGGAGTTCGAGACCAGCCTGGCCAACATGGTGAAACCCTGTCTCTACTAAAAATACAAAAAATTTGCGGGGCACGGTGGTGCACACCTGTAATCCCAGCTACTCAGGAGGCTGAGGCAGGAGTATTGCTTGAACCCAGGTGGCAGAGGTTGCAGTGAGCCGAGATTATGCCACTGCACTCCAGCCTGGGTGACAGAGTGAGACTCTGTCTCGAAACAAACAAACAAACAGCAACAACAACAGCAAAATATAGATAGGACAGGACACTGACTATGGGTCAGCAGGCACAGCCAGACATTGCTGCTCTACTCCAGACCAGTGCTTTTTCCTGTGCTAGTCACTGACTGAACACAGCCACTGAGCAGTTGAAAGTAGACTAGTCTGAATTGAAATGTGCTGTAAGTATAAAGCACACTGTATTTAAAAGATTTAGTACAAAAAGAAGTAAACATCTCACCTACGTTTTAACATTGATTACATTTTGAAGTGATAATATTTTTAATATATTGGGTTAAACAAAATACAAAATATATTATTGAAATAAGGTTCAACTGTTTCTTTTTATTTTTCAAGGTGGTTACTAAGATTACTAAAATAACTTTTTTTTTCTTTCTTTCTTTTTTTTTTTTTTTTTTTTTGAGACAGAGTTTCCCTCTTGTTGCCCAGGCTGGAGTGCAATGGCGTGATCTCGGCTCACTGCAACCTCCACCTCTCGGGTTCAATCAATTCTCCTGCCTCAGCCTCCCGAGTAGCTGGGATTACAGGCATGCGGCACCACACCCGGCTAATTTTGTATTTTTAGTAGAGACGGGGTTTCTCCATGTCAGGCTGGTCTCGAACTCCCCACCTGAGGTGATCCACCCGCCTTGGCCTCCCAAAGTGCTGAGATTACAGGCGTGATCCACCTTGCGCGGCCTAAAATAACTTTAAGCTGCCTGTGTAGCTGGAATTATTTCTCTGTTGGGCAGTGCTGCATTAGACAATGAGACCCTGGAAGGTGGGCAGTGGACCCGGAGAGGATCAGAAGAGAGGCTGACCGGCTGCCTGGATGGGTCTTTCAGGTGAGGAGGTGGAACCCCAAAAGAAGTCCATTGGGAATAGGAAGAAGGACATCCTGTTGGAAAGATACCCTTTCTGGTTTGGAAACAGTAAAAAGTGTGCCGTGCAAACTGTTTTTAAAACATGAGGTGTTTAAGTAGTTGGTCCAAGGTCACATCTCAGTGTGGGTCAGTGTTGGGAACTGTAAACCAAGTGTGTCTAAAGGAGGTCACCTCCCAGGGCTCACTCCTTTAGTAGAAATTCGGAGACGCAAGCCAGGACAATCTACTTGAGTGGGCAAGAAAAGTAACACGCATGGACCAGTCACCTGTGATTTCCTTTCAGGCACTGGCAATGTGCGCCTCTTGGTGAAAGCTCCAGGTGGTTGCCTTTCCCTTGATACAAAGAGGGGTCCAGTTAGCGTCAGGCTTGCTCACCAACCTTTGTTCATGTGTAGGCGCCTAAGGTTGCTGCCCACGTGTGTTCAGGAGGGTGACTTCCTAGAGCTGTGGAGCTCTTTTAAACTTGTAGTCTTCTTTCAGCTCCTACAGGAAAAATCTCTATTCGATATGTCTGTGGCCCTACAACTTCCCTAGGCTGTTATATTTTAACTAGGATTAATAAAGAGGGGCTTTGCTGATCAATTTTGAAAGGTTATACTTTATAAGCCCATCTATTTTCTAAACCTACAGCACAGATTTCTGTATTTTTTCCATGTGGATAATTTGAATTCTTGGAGTGCATTTATCTGTTTTAACAATATTTTCAGTTGCCAGGTAAACCTAAATTGCATTTTTAAGCTTGACCTGAGGAATATCAATGTGTCCTATCATTTTGGCATTTAAAAAGTTTTCTTTCAATTCGATGAACATAAAACTATTCCTCTAAAGACAAATACAATGGAGGCTTGAAAACATTTTGGTAATGCATTCAGCAAAATGAGATTGCTTCGTAATTGGATTAAGATGTAATAGTCTTTGGGGAAATCATTTAACCTCATGGAGCTTGGACAGTTCCTTGGCTGGTGAGGAAAGTTCACCTTCAAATAACTTATGAGAAACCATAGGGAAAACACTTTCGAGAACAATTATGGATTTGACTATGGCGGGGATTGTTCTTTGCACAATCACTCTGAGGCAGGGCTGAAAAGGAACTGGGTCAGAGGCGAGTTCCGTCTCCCTCATACGCTTTCCATGGGGCAGTATCAGATTCGGGCTCCTGACAAAGGAAGCCAGTCGAATGACAGCCCCTTTGCAAAGTTTTCCAAAGTCTTTGAATCAATTTCCTTTGTGTTCTCAGGCCACTGAGATTTTCAGACACAAACCAAGAGGATTGAAAAGATCTCTTTTCAGGGGAAAAAAAATAAAAAGAGTGGATTTCAAAGGCATATATCCTGGTTAGTAATTCTTCTCAGCTCTTCTCCATCACTGAAACTGAAACACATTACCCTCCTTCACTAGAGTTTTCTGTAAAAACTACACCCAAATCACCTGGTTATGCTTGAGCCAGGACTGATTAAAACATTATTAAAATTTGGGCAGTTCTTTGTTAACATGGGAAGTCCCATGGACTGAGCTCAATTGTCCTATATGAAACTGAACTTTCATCCTAAAAATCAGAAGTAGCTGGTGTTGGACTCACCATGATTCCAAACTCACCTCATAGCTGCTTCTGATAATGCAATTTCAGTCAGGAGCACAAGAGAAGTGCTCATTAAAAGTGCTCATGGAACTTCATTAAAAGTTCCATGTTTGACCAAAACCCTAGAAAAAAAAAAATCAGTCAGTATTTTCAAGGTCCCCCCTGGCTTGGTTCATCATCCACAATCAAACGATTGAACAAAATGCATGTGCCTGACCCAGGTTCTTACTCATAATGTTTCTATCTGAGATGTGAAGTTGCTATCACCTGCTCGTAGTCAGAATATTTAAAAATGAGAGTTCATGGTTTTAGTTGAGACTGTGTAACAGCCCCCAAGAAAAAAAAAACAAGGGAAAAAAACTGGATGTGGAAAACTTAAGTTTTCTGCAGAGTTTGACAAAAATCACCATGTCTATCAACATGTGGCTTCCAGCTTCAAGAAGTTTGTCTCTTTATGTTGAGAACAAGGACAGAGTAGAAAAGCAGAATAAATATTGGATCTAAGGTCTAAACAGATCTGCAAAGTGCATCAGCCCTCAAGGACCAGCTATAGTATCTGCCATCTTTTTCTTAGATGCTTTGCTTCTAATTGCATAGATACAAAATGTTATTGTAGATGAATCCAGTTATACAAATGGGACCAGGAAATCCAAAGTGAAACATTATAAAACAGTCACAAAAACTTATTATATTCTAAAAGATATCTTGTCATAATAAAAGAGCAAAAACAAAAAATCAAAAAACAAACAAAAAACTGCCAACTTCAATTTAAATCAAAGAAGAGAATAAGTGGGCAAATACTTTTTCAGGCACATCTGAGAAATTTTGTTTCAAATATCCTGTATCATGACACAGGACAGAACTCAGTAAAGGATAGATTAAGATGTGCCAACACATGAATCTAGACTCCCTGGAAGACAGGAAATAGGAAAGAGAAAACTCATTGCAGTGGTGGAAAGTCTACTTTTGCAGACAGGCATGGGTGAGTGTCCTCTGACCAAACAGTGGAGCTGTCAGAATGAGTTCAGATGAAGCCTGCACCCCAGTGCCCTAGACTAGAATTCTTGCCTCTGTCGTGGGTACATAAGACTTGATTGTGTAGATAGGGGGAGCTGAGCCTGCGATTGAGGATTAACTGTCGTTATTTACTGGAAGAAAACTTGCCCCTGACTTGGTTACTTTGAGTCAGTCTGAGGTACCCACTGTCCACTCTCCTACTGGGGAAGGTCAGCACCAGCTTCATTCTCCTGACTACTGTGCCCTCCGCATGCTTCCAAGCCCACCACGTTCCACCAGGCTCTGCTTACCTCCTGTGAGCCTTGGCCCTGACCCTTATTGCAGCTCACGTCTTGCCCACGTGGCCTGGTTGCTTGGTCTTTGGCTGATGCTGAGCTCTTCTTCAAGGGCTTGGCTTGGACCCCTGCTCTAAGGATTCTTTCTGGGTCAAAGCCAATGGCAGGAATTCCTGCCATGTTTGTTCCTGATCTAAAGCCCAGCCAAAGGTAGAAAACAGGGGTCCAGGCCAAGGATGTTTTGTGGAGATCCCACACAGCTGTTGACTATTAGCAAGCAGCACTAGTATCATTGACAGTACGAAAAAAGGTACTCTGCTCTCATCACCTCATTGTGTCCCCTCTCTTATCTTGGCAACAGAATGATTGCTACTGCTGTTTTGTAGATGAGGAAACCAAGGCTCAGAGGTAGAGGAGCACAGTCTCAAACCCGATATCTTCAAGTGTCGGTTTTCATGAAGAATAAATGAGATGAACTGAAATGAAATGAACTGATTATATGAGATGAGCAATTACTTTTCAGTTTCCATCAAGATAATTAGCCTCAATAGGCTTTTCCTGTGAAATCTACTTTAGTTTGCAGGGCTGTTCCGAATAACCTCAATACAGAGATTACTTGGTTTCGCGGTGCAGGATTCTGTTCACGTCCCTTGGGTTTCACAACTGCTTAGAGATTTTTGACTAACCTGATCTCTTTGAGCAGCTATATAGAAATTTTATCACGTGATTATTAAGCAAAATAAAACGACAGAAAGAGAGACAGAACAAAGGACAGAAACATGTATATTTACCAACATACAGGCACAGATACATATGTATATATGCATAAATATGTATTTGTATATATGTGTATGCATACACCCCCCCCCACACACACACACACATCTTTGATTCTTGATCCTTGGCTTGGTGTGGTTAGTTGGATGGATGAAAAATTAATGCATAGATAATTGTATATATAATCCTCCACTCATTCCTATAATCATACCATGAACCTCTGAAAGTTCATTTAAATTTTAGCAATACCATTGCTGTCATGTGAGCTGTTTTCTTTATTCTATCAGGAACACGGGATACTGTAATGATTAGGGAGCATTTATTTCTCTAGATTCTAAATCCAGTGATAAAATTAAACTCTGAATAGAGGATCACTGAGTTATGTTTAGAAAATGGTAGCAAAGCTGTTAAAAGATAAGAAAAATGTTCTAATGCAGAACTCGGGTCACTCATGCTTCTCACTGGTGTGTAGCCAGATACACATGAGCCCAGAGAGCAGGACCAGATGCCCATGCGGTGACATGGAAACCTGCCATTTGAAAATAAATATTTTAGCAGGTTTGGAAAGAGATAGCAAGCATATTTTGAATTCCTAGGTAATCCTCACCAACTATTTGAACTATCTAAAGAAGACATACATATGGCCAACAATCACATGAAAAAATGCTTAACATCACTGACCATTAGAGAAATGCAAATCAAAACCACAATGAGAACCATTTCACACCAGTTAGAATGGCTAGTATTAAAAGTAAAAAAATAACAGATGCTGGTGACGTTGTGGAGAAAACAGAATGCATATATACTGTTGGTGGGAACGTAAATTAGTTCAACCATTGTGGAAGACAGTGTGGCTATTCCTCAAAGACCTAAAGACAGAAATACCACTTGATCCAGAAGTCCCATTACCAGGTATAAACCCAAATAAATCCAAATTATTCTATTATCAAGACACATGCATGTGTATGTTCATTGCAGCACTGTTCACAATAGGAAAGACATAGAATCAACTTAAACGTCCATCAATGATAGACTGGATAAAGAAAGTGGTACATATACACGGAATACTATGGAATACATGGAATACTATGAGGCCATGAAAGGAATGAGATCATGCCCTTTGCCGGAACATGGATGGAGCTAGAGGCCATTATCTTTAGCCAACTAATGCAAGAACAGAAAACCAAATACTGCATGTTCTCATTTATAAGTGAGAGCTAAATGATGAGAACACATGAACACATAAAGGGGAACAACACACACTGGAGCCTATCAGAGGGTGGAGGGCGGGAGAAGGGAGAGGATCAGGAAAAATAGCTAATGGATATTAGGCTTAATACCTGGGTCATGAAATAATCTATAGAATAAACCCCCATGACACAGGTTTACCTGCGTCACAAAACTGCACGTGTACCCTGTACTTAAAAGTTAATAAATGAAATAACAATTAAATATTTATCTTTTTATGTTTTTAAAATGATATATATTTAAGGTGTACATCATGATGTTCTGATATAATTATCTTGATATATATATATATTTTGATATACATATCTTGATATATATACATCAAGATAAGTATATCCTCCCTCCCTCCTTCCATCTTTCTCTTCCCTCCTTCCCTTCCCCTTCCTTCCTTCTTTCCTTCCTTCTTTCCTTCCTTCCTTCCTTCCTCCTTCCTTCCCTCCCTCCTTCCCTTCTCCTTCCTTCCTTCCTTCCTTCGTTCCTTTCTTCCTTCCTTCCTTCCTTCGTTCCTTTCTTTCTTTCTTTCTTTCTCTCTTTCTTTCTTTCTTTCTTTCTCCTTTTCTTCTTTTTGTGGTAAGAGTATTTAAAATCTACTTTCTTGGCAAATTACAAGTATGCAATAAAATGTTTCTTTTAAAGTTAATAAATAAACACACAGATACCTGTTTATGTCTATATCTATGTCATCTATTTACATCCATCAAACATATATATGCATGTGAATAAGGTAGTTGTTTCTCCAAATGTACAGAAGGATTGCAAATCCAAGCTGGGCTGATGAATTCAGAGCCATTGCCTTTAGCATAAATGCTATTTCTGGACCCTTCCTGGCCTGATCCCAAGTAGTGGTAAGGGATGTCAGTTGTCCTTTACAACCACCACAGAGGAGAGAGGCAGAAGGCATCCTGCTGTTTTGCTGTCTTGTATTACAAGAATCCCAGGGTGATAGACAAATTTAGAATGCATTTATAAACCGAAGTTCATTGTAGAAAACCAGTTGGTCCTCTTTGAACTTTCCCAGAGGGCATATTTCCATGGAAGTATGGGAATTTAGATTACATTCTTTTTCAGACTGGTCACTTTTCTCAAGGGTGTTTCAAGTTCAAGTTCAGAACCCTGAGTTATTCAATTTTCCATTCACAAGGTAGAATTCTATAATTCCTCAGACATCCATTGTTGAAGCATCTGTTTGTCAGCTCAGAGAAGCTCTGAGTAAGAATCCCATGAAGACAATCCAGAGATCAGCTGGTTATTGGGTTTAAAGTACTCAGAACTTTCAAGCAAGGTGAGAAAATGAATTTCATATTTTCACGGTAAAAAACCAATCCCATCTATACATTCATTATTAATATCAAGTGCATGACCCGTACTCTCTGACACCAGTTCTATAATCTAGATAGCTGAGGTTTAAACCAAGAGAGAGAAGTTGCCTTTCTAGTCAGAAGCCGGGTCCGTGAAGCCCACCGTTCTGTTGCCAACAATAGTTTCCTGGGATATTCTATGAAATAGCCTTTTTACTTGTCCTGACATTGACCTCTGAGGTTCATTTATGGAACTGCTTTTTATTTTTTACTCAAACCAGTTTTACTTTTTTGCCCTTCTTACTGGTAAAAATCTTGGAGTCATGAACTCCGTAATCTGATTTTCTACTCTGAAGTAGCTTCTTTTTATTTATTCTCAGCCTGCCTTGCTCATGCTGAAAGTTGCTTTGTTTTAAAATTATGATCTCTCTATTTCTGTCCTCTTATTTTTCTCTTTTTATTATACTTTATCTATTTTCAGGAATAATTTGGGCAAGAAGTGTCCA